AAGAATATCGATAAAAAATAAGCCGGGATTTTCAGATACACAATTTTACTAATGGGCATTTGAGTTTACCGTGTTTCCGGTCTTTCCCGATTCGGCAAAAGCGCTTTAACGCAGTGAAATCGCGTGAGCAATATCAATCACTGATATTCACTGTAATATTTTGCTGTTACGATGAGTAGCGTTTTCATCGATGGCCATGGCAAACATATTTTGAAATCGTTTAGCCGAAATTAATATGCGTTGAACAAATATTTCTCTCCCCATGCGTTTCTGTTCTCTGACCTGTCTGCTGGCTGGTTGACGTTTTACGGATCGGGAAATATTTTTACGGGCAACTGCTCGTGATGCATAACATGGGTTTTGCCGGTTTCTTTGAATTGTGCTTTGTAAAAAATTGATAAAACGATTGGAAAACGGTACGATATGCATATGTTAAATAATTAATTTGTCGCGCGTATTTACGGTGAGTAAAAAGGAAAAATATCATTCAGAAAAAACCTCCCACGAGTGACTATATAATTTGAAACAACCGTTCGCGGCGTTTCATTTAACTAAAAAGAATCTCGTATCGATGTAATAAATGGCTGTAACGTTGACACACACAGGATGTTTCAGAATAACTTTCCATCTGCGAGTTCCAATTGAAGATATATTTTTCTTAAACGAGCAAGGCTGAAGTAATTAGGAGTTCAACTGATTGTGAAAAGTGAATAGGATTTCGGGGGGGGGGGGGGAATAGCGCACGCTATTACGAATGAAAAATCCAGAATTGAGACCTTCATCTGGTGCATTAAGGAAAGTAGGATTCCAGGAGAATGCAGCGTCAGAAATTCCTGAATTACAAGAATAGTCATGCGCGTCCAATCACAGATGTAAACACTTCCGTCGGTGGTCTTCGTGCGCCCCATTTGGTTATATGTTCCACACCCCTGCTCACCCCTTCAGTATCCACTGAGTGTAGTTGGTCACGAATAGCTAGGTGGCTTTACCTAGATATTATATCATACGGAAGCATGTGAGCGAGCGCGACCGGCTGCCTAACGTGTCACAGCCTCGGCAATCGTATAATTAATTAAACTAAGTCAAGGGAACGAAGTTGTTTGAACTTATTACATTAACATAACAACTTATGTCAACTGTACGCTTGATGTATGGACCTCTTTTCGTCCGCGATTACTCCGATCGTTTCCAAGTAGAATTTCAACGAACAATAACGTTAAATAGCATTCGCGATAAACGTACTTCATAAAAAAGTTTTTATTTTCATTGTTTATTTTTTTTTTTTACGCTATTAGTCCGAAAACTAGGAGTGGAATTATTGCTGGAAATGAAAATTAATTAGCAGAAACTATTGATACAGAGCTGTCGGTATGTCGATTTTACGCGTGAAAAAATGTATAAAAAAATTCTGAATTCTACAGAGCTCGATACAGAATGTAAAGTATCGCGATCGGTCAAGTTTACGTAGGGACAGAGGACGGTAACAAGCTCAACAAGGCCGCACGGCGGAACGACGGCAAAAATCACGTGCTCGATCATACAAATGCGTTCGGCCCTTAACAAACACTATTATTAGCTGCATTGATTTCGGCTTAATCAACTCCTATCGAGCAAATCGCCCGCGGGGTTTGTGTATTGGCGCACCACCGGCGAACGCGATCACGCGATTCGATGGATCGAGGACAAACGGGGGAAGGGGAGGGGGGGAGGGAAAGGACACAGATGCGCAAATCAACGAACCAGCCAACCAACGTGCGCCTAGTGTTTGCCAAATTAAACCAACTATCCACCAAATCACAGCTGATGATAAGTCGCGCGGCGGCGCGCTCGGGAATGAAGGATTGAAACCAGAGGGACGCTGGTTACCGAGCGGCGACAGCGAGAGCGATTTACCGGTTTGCAGAACCGGAAGCGGTGTTTGCACAGACTGCCTCTCGCTGAGCACGTTTCCTTGGAACTGCGTATTCTTCGGAATCCACAGAATAATTCAATTTCTCGCGTTTTGAGATGACAAAATCGGCATCGATTATGTATTATTATTATTATTATTATTGTTGTTGTTGTTATTGTTATTATTATTATTATGAAAGAATTTATCGTTGATAAATTGTTCGCGTTGATAACAAAGCGAATAAGCGAATACGCTTTCAATAAGCATTGCTTTGCGGGCTCAATGACTCTAGCTACGTCGCCGGTTAAAGCTTTCTTCGTCCACTTGGTTCATGTTCGATCCAATGATTAATTCAGGCAGACTATTATCGTGACATGTGGATTGCAAACGTGTATCAGTCTATAATTCCTCTTCTGTACGATCTCAACGATTCTATGTCACGAAGCTCATGATTGCCAAAGCAGTAGGTTAATATCGATATCAGATTTATTACACTAATTTATGCACTAATGCATAAGTACATCAAGTAGTTCTTATATCCTGATTTCACTTCTATATCGGGATACCGTAGAATTACAACCTCGTTCCTGTAATCTGTGAATTTTTTACAAGCTCATAAACAAGCTTCCTTCTTCTGATGATTTACGAAAATTTCCGCGTTCAATATTTTACTCGCGACATTCAAAAACTTATTATCAACTTGCTATGATTAGTGAATAAAAATAAGAGAACACGTAAAATGATTATACGTTAATCTTTTAGCTTTAATGAATTTTTTACGTTGATGGATTCATGATATCAAATGTTGAATAAATATTACAACATGTGCTAAAAGCTGATAAACCTTTGAATGACTGAAATTAAGCAATAATATATTAAAAAGGGTGAATTTTTATCTTGCAAAACGCGATCGGGGCGAGATACGGTAATTTATAAAATGCAATGGCAAATTTTTGCACGTATAAAAGCGAGCAATGTTAAATAGGTTTCCATGATTTCAAGATATGCGTTTGATTTATTTTTACAATCTCTTTTATTGATGTCGGACGTTATCCACTTTTGCTCGATAGAATCTTGATAGCGGCGGTATTTGAAAATTAGGTTGCACGTAAGGCAACATGCAAGGAATATTTTAAGGTACGACAGACCCCAAAGTATTCGCTGAAAAAGAGACAAATCGCTTGTCGTCAGTTAACTACATGTATAGCCGCCTTTTTATCAGCCGCGAAAGAATACGCATTACACGGTGACACGTTGTCCAACGCTGAAAGCATACATTTACATTCTGTCAAACTCGATTCTCAACATAGAAGTCACTTTTCTCCATCCGCCAAATGTCACGAAATATACCCGATCGACCATGAATCATAATATCGATTATTCAGAGTCGGACTGATCTCATCGCGGGGATTATATCATCGCTACGTGATCATCTACGGTTACTTGATCGTATGCATACACACAATGTTTTGCCCGCGAGGCTTCGCCAACAAAATGTTACGGGATATCCTCGACCTCGCGAAATGAGATAGTAACCAGCGTAGAATCTTCGAAGGATAATTTGACTTGTACGTTGAACGCAAAAATCACTTGATCGTCAACTTATCCTTTAACGTGGAATGAAGCGCGGAGCAGTCAATTGACCCATTCTAATTTTCTCCGCGCTTTGTGCAGTGCTATCGATTACATGAATTATGTAATATTAATTTTCTCGTTTTTAATATTTCAAGTTTCAGCTTCTTCGCTCATTTCGTTCCACTTTCCTGAGACGTGCTGGAAAGGATCGTTTTTCTATTTTCTTCCATCCGCTTGAGCGCGTCGAGACGATCGATTTTTATATTAATTTTCTTGTTTTTAATATTTTACGTCTTATCGCGCGAGAGAAATTATCGAACGCTATCGATTTCGCGCGATTTTCCTATCGTCATCAGGACGAGGCAATAATGTTGCAGTGATGAAATCGCCGGTGAACGACCGGTTGGTGTCGCGATCTCGCGGGTCACACGATCGCTGCGGGCGGGCAATCCGCGACCGTCACCGCGCAAATACATCCAGCTATTTAAATTTATTTCGAAATAGATACTTTATCTTATCTAGAATATATTACAGATATCTTATCGCGCGACCATCTACGATTACTGCCGGCCGGATGATCGAAAACCAAGTCCCTCCTGCGGCCGGAACTATGAGAGTTTGTCGCCGTTATTAAGTTTCGTTCGCGGAACGAGATATCGGACGACGGCCGGAAAGAAATCGATGATCACTCCCTTCCCCCCCGTCTTCATCATGACTGACTCATCCACGTGCTCCGTCTTACCTGACCAATCAATTTCCTGGCCGCGCGGTATCGCCGTGATCCCAGGCAAGATCGCTTTGTAAGTCTTCCTTCGCAGTCTAAGGTATCCCAGAAATTTATACCCTGCCGCTTGGATCGCTTTGCGGATCAATTACCAGCGGCGGTGACCGATACCGGACTTAATTAACTTAATAACGTTAAATAGTTGTATTTATGTATAACTCAATTATGTTCCGCGCGAACTTGTGCGTTTACATATTTCTGCGGGCTAATAATATTAATAATGCGTAAATTAATCATGCGTAGCCGGATATTGTGCATTTGCGGTCAATATGTGTATGTATTTTTATCCGTTTATCCGATTAATTGATGCGCGATGAAATATAATCGAAATTAGGAGCATAAACTATCGCGCGATAGTTGTAATTAGCACTATGTAATTAATGCAATGGAGAGAAAAAATCCGTCCCAATCTCCCTTCCCTCTGCCTGCGTTTCGTCTTTGTTTAAAGAGACGCACTTTGTTCAAAAAATCATAAAATTTTAAAGATTTCAATTCTGGTGTATAATATAAAATTTACTTCAGCGCATCCTGAAAGCAATAAAAGTATTTGTGAAACCATTTGATTGCGAAACGACGAGGCTAGAAGTTGCAACAGAAATTGTGGTTTCTCCTTAAATAATTTTTTTGTTTCTTTGCGTGAAGAATTATTGCACACCATTGTTTAACTCGCTTCCTCGAACTCACAGCGGACGATTTTTCGCAGGTACCCGACGCGTGAGAACCCGAGGAAGGCGCGGATGACTGCAGTGAGCGCGGCGCTCGCGTCCCAATTAAAGAAATGGATACGGTAATTGCGAGGCCGCGCCGGCGACTGGAGATACGGGCCAATTCGGCGCGTTAAATGCTGCCCCGGAGATTCACGTTCCGGCCAAGGCTCTCGCGGATCTGGAATGGCCCCTGGGAGCAGAAGCGCGAACGGCAACAGCGGCATCAACAACGATATCGGAACAAACTCAGTTAACAAGCCCCGTGTCGTCGCGCCCGTATCGGTCGCGCAAGTAGATAGGTTTTAAATCGAGTCAACCGCGGCAGAAGGGCAACGAAGTTAGCGCGGCAAAATAATCCAGCGGGCTACACCGGGATTGCGCGCGTCCCCGCGTATAATGGAAGCACGTGGGACGGCAGTGGACGCTGCACTAGGAAGAAATTGAATCCTATCTTACACGTCGCTTAATCGCCCGGCATCGCGGAGCAATCAAGGGAGAGATTTCAGGGCCGACGCGATGTTGATACAAGCTGGTTGCATAGAAGATACTATTTAATCCCAGCTCTTTTTGCTCGAAATATTTCGCGTATATCGACCGCGTTGTAGTCACAAGAGAGAGAGAGAGAGCGGCAGCTCTGCCAGACTGTAAAACATATAACGCGACGTTCGGAAGGAAACGCGCGCCGGATGTCACGGTTAACGGGAACAATGCGGTGAGAGGATCGAGAGACAGCCGGCGATTTCAGATATGTGACAGGAAGAATCCTGTCGAAGGAAATCAGTGATCCCGATAGAGGAAGCGGGAGATACACGAGATAACAACAAGGCCGGTGAAGACTCGTCTCGAACGCACGACAAGTGTCCTTACAGACAGTTGAGCTTGGTCGTGGAGCGGCGCCGACTCTGTTATGGAATGATCCGATGCCCGAACGGGGCGTCTAGGTGTCCGCGATCATCTCTCCCGGTACGATTCGGTCGAGCATCATGACAACGATGATTCGGCTGCTCCTCCTATCCGCCCTGCTGATCCTGCAGTCCTTCTCGACTGTCTGCTCGGCGAACGGCGACGGCGGGCCCAACAGCCCGATCTTCAATCTGGACAAATCCGCCCTGGAGAAGAACATCGCGGCGATCTTCAACAAGGTGGCGCACAGCTCCGCGACCACGAAGCGCAGCGTGCCGGCGTACGACGCCCAGGTGTCGGCCAGCACGACGCTGTCGACGGTGCCGTCGCCGTTGACGACCAGCGCGACCACCAGCACGACCACCGCCAGCCCGTCGGCGCCGATCGCCAAGTATCCGGCGGCGCCGCGGGCCACGTCGTCGCCCATCCTGCGCGATCTGCCGTCGTACGCGCCGCCCTCCAGGGCGCTCTTCACGCCGCCCCTGCCGCCGGAGTACCTGCACCCGTTCGCCGACAAGCCGACGCTGCGCGGCACCAACTCGGACGTGCACACCGGCAACAGGAGGCCGGTGCCGCCGCCGAGCTTAACGCCGGCGCACGAGCGGATACCCATCCGACCGCCGGATCTACCTCACAGCCCGTCGCAAGTGCCGGAGAAGCATCATTCCCACACGAGGAACAAGCCGGCGAGCGTGCCCGACAGCAGGGAGAAGTCCGCGGAGTCCGGCGGGGACGCCGATCGGAAGAACAACACGAACGACACGTCGTTCGTCACCCTTCACTACCCCATTATCTCGAGGATTTTGTCCGGCAGCAACGGCCGGAAGCAGGATATCCCCGACATACTGCTGAAGCCGTTGGCCACGAAGAGTCCAGTGGTGCCGAACGCACCGCCGGCCGTGACGACCGACAGGACCACGCCGACGCCGAGCACCACGACACCGAGCAGCACGCCGGACCCCTCGAGAACCGTCGTCACGTATCCGACCATCTTCAACCTGCCGAACACCGGTCGGCAGGACGACGACGGCTACCAGCTCAGAAACGAGCACGGCGGCCTGAAGAAGGACGGTATCGAGATAGTGGACACGGAGAAACTACCGTATCCGCAGGCGCAGCCGCCGGCGCCGACGTCGAAGCGGCCGACGAGCGCCGACGACGACGACGACGAGCGGGTGCTGCACGTCGATAGAAATCCGCTGGAGTCGCCGTGGCGGATCGCCTGGTCGCTGCACGTGTACCTCTCCGCGATCATGTTCACGATCATGGCGCTATACTCGATCTACAAAATTGTGCGCTTCAACGAGGCGACGAATCTGCTCACGCAGTCGTACTTCCTCGCCGTGCATCTGCTACTCACCACCGTCTGCACTCTGAGGTGTTTCCACCTCTTCTACGACGCGTACAATCTCGGTCACTCGCTACCGGAGCCGCTGTCCAGGGTGCTGATGTACCTGCCGGCGCCGCTTCTCTGCACGGCCTTCGCCACCCTGATGCTGTACCTCGCGCGGTGCTCGGAAGCGCCCTCGCTCAACAACAGCATCCTCTCGCCCACGACGCTCGTCCTGTCGTCCACGGTGCACATCGTGCTCTGCGTGTCCCTCCACGTGTCCACGCACGTGTTCGGCTATCAGGACGAGGCGAGGATCCTGCCGCTCATCTGCCAGTGCATCTACGTCATGGTGTGCGTCACCCTGGGCCTGTGCTACATGTACGTGTACCGCGTGGTACGCTCGCAGATCCACATGGTCAGCAATAAGGCAGCCGGCGCGAATCACATGATGGGCGCCGATCCTACCACGGTTGCGCTCAGCACCGCCATCACCACCACCATCGCCACCGCATTGTTGTTCATTCTCATGAGTTTTATACAGCTGTACGGCATATTCGGCGTGCAGGAACGGCCGCAGCCGTATCCGTGGCTCTGGTGGGGCTGGCAGTTCTCCGCCAGACTGGTGGAGCTGGCTGTCTGCGGTCTTCTGGCGTGGGTCGCCAGCCTGTCGCAGTATCCGCTGCGCGAGAAACAGATGCAGCAGCACTCGGCGCACTCGGGCTTCGCGCTGTTTCCCTGCGGCAGCTCCACCTCCACGGAGAACATGGACGACGTTCTCTATCCCGCTATATGCAGCACCAACCAAGCGATTCAGAATTATACCATGAGAACGGGAAAGCAGGTTTACGACGACAGTTTTCCGCTGAATACCCTGCCCGAGCATTTGAACATATCAGGTATCGTAAAAAGTAATTGTGCGATATTTCTTGTATATTTTCTACCGAGAGTGTCTTTGTAATTTCTTATCCTCGGTGAGAGAAAAGTGATATTGTCGTCGCGTGGAATTTTACAGTAATTGTTTAATTGATGAATTCGTACATAAACGCGGATCAATGTTAATTTCATTAATACATTCACTCGTGATTAGAATAAAAAGTAAAATAAACTAATGTTCACTCGTCGCCTCTGTAGGTACCTTCGAGAGACATTCCATTCGCAAGTCAGGCACGATGGGCCACTTCCCACATGAAGGTCGAGGTTCCTTAAGTCGTCACGGTAATGGCATACAAACTCTAAGGAATTCCGAGACTCGCGGCAGGCACACACCCGTTCAAGGCCTACACGAACAAGCGGCTCCGACTAGCGGCTCGACGATGCTAGTCGCCGAGGACGGCTTCGTCAGGTTCCGGAGTCTTGGCGCGGAGGACGACGAACTGTCCGATACGCAGAGCATGGTCGGCACTCACGGCAGAGGAAGCTCGCTCGCCGGTAGCGTCAGGTACAACGCGAGGCATCCGACGCTGCAGCATCAGCATCCCCATCACCAGCTGCAGCACTCGCATCCGAGTCAGCATCAAACTCACCATCAGCTTTACAACAACACGTAAAGGCTGTGCCAACGCGATGACTAGAACGTGATTCTTGTTGACTCGACAGGTAAGAAAAAAAGAATCAAAAAGCAATAATAATATCGCGATGATTTGTAATGTGTGTTCTTTCTATTCTTTCGTTCCGTTATTTTTTAATTCAATATATATATATATTTTTTTTATATAAAAATGTAAGACATTGGTGATTAATGTCATATGTTTGAAAGAACTGCTCGATTTATTCGCAAGTCAAATTATTGTAAGATATTAAGATTAAAAAAATTGTACATTACATTTGCACCGATGTATTATAATCGTCGTTCTTTTGTTGCAGACATAATAATCGTCATCGATGAAACTTAGGATGTATCGACACACGCGGGAATCGTCGCCCTCGCAAACTTCGGTCTAAACTCGAGAACTAATTTTATCTCGTATTCTATGTAAGATATGTCCTGTGTATAGACAACCTAATTGCCATTTCCGCTCTCCTGCTTCGCATCGACGTCCGAGCCAAGCCTCTGCCGTACGATACCTATACATATTTATTTTGATCCTCGAGTAAAAGTATACGGCGAACTCGTTTTGGGTTCCTCTACCTGTATGTGGATAGTTCAGGGTATATCGAAACTTGATCTTATATTAGGCACTTGGTACTTATTAAGATTCATGTGATTAAAAAAAAAAGCATAAAGAAATAATGTGTCTCACTGAAATATATAGCGAAACGCTTCTCTCTCGGTTTTACGTTCACTGTTAGTACCGAATACGGCTGTGTGGAACGTATTGGAGGAACAAGTGATTTTAAATCGGTTCTAATGCCACAACGCGTTAAGGTGTTCTAAGCAAACGTTGCCAGTTATTCATTACCGCGTGATAGAAGACTTGGACAAATGTTGTATCGCCCTAGCCAGAATTTTTATAATCACCGTAGGCTCATTGTTTTACATAGTCGTATGTAACGTTAAAGCGCTCCGAGTAATCACCTGTTCGATCGGTACTTATTCTTCGTTGCAATCTCTCGTGAATTCGATATAAAAGCAGCTTTGCGACCAGCAGGAAATATATTTTTTACGAAAAAAAAGGAGGAAAAAAATTGCTCGCGAGGTCCAAACACAACTCGGGAAAACAATTGCGATTCCCATTCGGGTATTTCCGAGATTAGGATGTGATTGTGTCAAGCTGAAAGCGGCGTTTGTCCAGTCAACGATAATTTATCACTCAGTCCAATTGTACGATTTAGTTAGCGGCTAAGACTAGATTAAGAATTGCGGGTTACGTTAAGTTTAGCCATTAAGTTAGACGAGTCGCGACTAATGTCAACAGGTTCAATAAACCGAAGGGGAATAAGAAAGACGTAAGGAAAAAAAAACCTACTATTACCGATGTAGAATAGATGAGTGCGATTTAATGTCACACACACACAGGCCAGCATTTTACTTTATTTCTCAGACTCTAAGGTACAAAATAGTACTTTTTACCTTTCACTTCGTATATCGATAGGTTTAAGCGGTCGCAATGTATATGTTTATATGTGGACATTGTAAATAAGGTATACGGGCTCGTCGTGAGTGAATCTACTGTTACGATAGCATCCTATTGGATTCTATCCGACGCATCGGAATTTACACAACTATCGGTTGTAAATGCAAGACTTGTATTTTAATTTATCTCAGAAGCTGTATTTATTATGTGAAACATTCCACAACAAGTGATCAGTGTGAATGCGCGATCGATTTGTGTGGAATTTTATTGCAATTATAAATTTACCTAGGCGCTAAACGAAACGGAACAAATGTAAATAAAAGCTTTTTTGCGAAAAAAACTTATATTGATCTTACTTTCGAATAAGATTTTACTCGTGCATCAAAATGCATCAAACATACATTCGCAAAAAAATTCCTTGTTTTTACATTTTTATAGTAAATTATTTTTTAGTTGAAAAAAATACGCATTTGCAGATTGCTATGTTGAAGGTTTCATTAATTTATCGGGATAGCGTAATTTTTAAATCAAATTTGTAACGTGCTATCAAAGTTCATAATATGACATATAATATGCAAAATTATTTCCGAATTTAGGTTTCTTAAACAAATTTTATATTGTAATATGTAAATATAATTGTGTTAGAGAATTATGTATGCATATTTAAATTTTATTTTATTCTTTTCTCCAACATTCCAATTCTCCACACACTACAAAGTATGCACACTGCAAAGTATTTATTTTTTCTTAGGAATCATCCATTTATTAATGTAATACGCAGTAATACTTTGTATAAAATGTTAAAAAATTTAATTGAAAAATTTCAATATAGCTTATAGAGAACTTAAAAAAGAACTTTTCAAATTAAAGTTTGTTAAGATTTGGTTTCTCTATGCAATTAATGCATGTGTGAATCATTGACACTTTGCACGCTGCGAGCACGTGATGTTTGTTTTTTGTCTGCATATCTGTTCTACAGATAAAACAATTTATCTTTGATAGAAGGAAGTTATATAAGTATCTTTGAAAGAAGGAAGTTATATAAAGCGCGCATCTACTTTTACTACTTTTTTAGTATACTGACTGATCGCAGTTGTTAATTTGTTAATTTATTCGTTATTTTAATTCATGAATTTTTAATATTCTCTTTGAATAGAATTCGTGGAAAGATTATTTTCTATTTTTACGAATATAAGAAATTAAGAACAAAATAATATTTAATATTAGTTAATATAATTTTTTTCAATTTTCTGCCTATTAAAATAATTATGAATCAGAGCAAAAAGTGCACCAGTTTAAGTGAAATAAATAATAAGCTCACAGAAGAAGTGTTAACAAGTATTCTCTCAAAAGCACATAATGGAAAGGAAGTGCAGTTAACAGACTGGAACTTTAAAGCGGGGTCTGCTAAGGGCGACAATTATTTGTCAAATGTTTATAAGGGCAGCGTGAACGGCATCATCAACGACGACCCAAAGCAACATGCGCAGATAAATATTGTCGTCAAGTCAATGCCGAAGAATCCTGGCACAAGAAAGTCTCTCAGAAGTGCCGACTTTTTCTCCAATGAAATTACTTTTTACACAAAGGCAAGATCGTGACATATTTATTTTTCTTCGACTTCTTGTAATCGAAAAAAAACATTTTCTATTTATTTAGTTTGAATTTATTTGTTTTATAGATTATCCCCAAATTTGAGAAGTTCGTAGCAGACAAAGGACAAAGCGATTTATTACACATACCACGTTACTTGGCTTCCTTCACGGATGACGAAAACGATTTTATAATTCTGGAAGATGCATCTTGTCTAGGATTTTATAATATATCGAGACAGCACATCTTAGACTGGACGGGATGTACAGCAATCTTGAAAATATTGGCAAAATTTCACGCAATCTCGTTTGCGTACAAAGATCAAAAGAAAGAAGAGTTTGCTGAGCTTGCGGATTCTTTGAAAGAAACTTTCTTCACTAGTAACTATTGGCATTGGTACAAAGGTTTTCATGTAAGGATCAAAAATAGAATTTTTCTAAGAACTCTATTTAAAGCACTCTCTTTCTTTTTTTTTTACAGGAAAAGGTACAAGTTGTTGTTAGACGGGCATTAGCCATCGAATATCCTAATAGTAAAGCCGAGGAACGATACAATTCTTACAAGCTGGGCGTTCTATTTGACAAATGCATAGAATTATGCGAGAGAAAAGTTGCTCCTACATCAGTTATAACCCAGGGTGACTGTTGGATTCCGAACTTCTTACTTCGCGATATTGAGCCAAACCGAACAGAATCAATAATGCTCGATTTTCAACTTGCACGTTGTGTCAGTCCTATTTTAGACTTATCGGTCTTAATTTATTCTTGCACCGACAAGTCATTTTACGATCAGTATTTTGATGACGCATTGAAATTTTATCACTCCGAATTGAGCAGCGCTATCAAATCTCTCGGGTCTGACTCAGACAAAATTTATCGTGGAAGTTATTTATGAAAGAGGTAATGTGTCTTGTGATAGTCTTTTTTTTTTTTTAAGACAATGCATATGTTAATGACAATTGCTAATGTTAATGTTAATTTCAGGTGCAGGAACAATTTGTTTTTGGCGTATTTCAAGCACTCGATGTCATTCCAGTAGCTTTGATGACTGTATCTGAATCATTCAGTATAGAAACCGCTGTTGAGGGTGATGAGGCAATAGATATTAGTGATGCGATGAACTTTAATATTACAACAGCAAGCGGAAGACAAAGAATAGCAGATGTGATAATTCATAGCATTGAGAGAGGATATATATGATCTAAGCTTATGTGAAACCATCATCTTTTGTTAAAAAGAATTGAGTGTCAATAAGGGCATTGTTCAGTATGATTTATATTCGATTTCTATGTGAGATGATTCAAACTGCAAACATTTTTGTTTAAAAAAATGAAATGTAAATCAAATGATCCAAAGAGAAAAAAATAAATAAAAATTGATTTACTAGATCTATGATATCCTACAAAGATTTTATATTTAGTGCGATAGCATATGACTTGCCATATATTTTTCGTGGCATTTATGAATATACTGCTGGTGTCATTCTCTAAAATTATTAGTCTTATCAGCATATATCATGAAGATCATGCGTTAAATCTCGATAGGAGAAAGGTCAATAAAACAGAACAGATTGGTATGTAAATATTGATTTTACTTAAATGACTGTAAATGACTCTTAAATGACTGTTAATGCAGAAAAAGAGTTAAATGTTTTTTGTCATGAAGAAAAATTCAAAAAATCGAAACATTTAATTTTATATAAAAAAGTCTTTATTTTTTTTTTACAAATAGGTTATGTTTTCAGCTTACGGATATGAATGTGACGTTTCGTTTGCGCGCGCAATCCACCATGCTGATGACATTCCTGGGGGAAGATGACATCAACACGTTCCCGTGGCTTTGGTTCACTTGTGCCAATTTATATCCCCTCTTCACACAAACATGATTGATAGCTTTAATTAAATTCATCCTAGTTCGTAACGGAAAAAACCCATCCAACTATCTACAGTCTTATGTGGCACATCCTCGCGTAAGGATTATTCAATCGCAATTACGTGGCCTTTTTTCCAATCAGATATGTATTTTTATAATGATAATATACTCAATTGTAAGTGACTTACTGCAGTGATTACTTGTAGACTTGTATGTGGTGTGAATATTTTGCATGTATTGCTATCAAGTAAAAGATACAACGCAATACAACGATAAAATATCATAAATTATAGATGATTTTTATCGCAAGAAAATATCCTTGTGATAAGCCACGTTAGATAACAGGTGTATAAATTGCTGTAAAACCTTCCTTGCCATACCAATGTTCAGTGTGGCTCACAGTTATTATGTCCATTCTAAGAATCTGAAAATCATAAGTTATAAATATAACGGTTGTTGGAATTTTTTGTGTTAAAAATTTTGCGTTAAATAATAAAATATCAATATTGAGAATATATTATTAAATTTTGTCAAATAAAGATTAAGATCTAAAGAAGAAATTATGAGTCAAAGTAAAAATTGTGTTGATTTGAGTGAAGTGAGTGATAAGTTTACGAAAGAGGTACTGACAGATGTCCTCTGTAAAGCCCATGGGAAAAAAGTGCAACTTGTAGATTGGGATTTTGGCGAAGGATTTGCCAAAGGCGATAGTTACTTGTCAACTGTCACTAAAGGCGTAGTGTATGGTATTACAGATGACGATTCAAAGCAGCATGTGCAAGTTAATTTTGTTGTAAAGTCGATTCCAAAGAATGTTGGCAGACGCAAGACTTTCAGAAGCTCAGATTTTTTCCGTAATGAAATTATGTTTTATACTCAGGCAAGCATATCATTCATTTGCTTTTTATATAACTTATATAACTTTTTATACAAATGCATATATTAACTGTGTGTCTGAAAAAAATTGTTAGGAATTTTAATATAATTAAACACATTTCTTTTACAGATTGTCCCCAAGTTTGAAGAATTCTTAGCTAGCAAAGAGCAAAGTAATCTACTGTGTATACCACAACATATTGTTTCTCACATGGATGGTGTAAATGATTTTATAGTCATGAAGGATGTCTCCCCCCTAGGATTTGGACCTGCATCCAGGCAAAGTTGTATCGACTGGACCGAATGTACTGTGATCTTAAAAACGTTAGCGAAATTTCATGCAATCTCGTTTGCATACAAAGATCAGAAGAAAGAAGAGTTTGCAAAACTTGCAAGTTATTTAACAGAAACTTACTTTGGTGCTCATAACTGGAAATGGTACGAGAGATTCCATGTAAGTAGCATTGCATTGTATTATCATTTTTAATTATAATTTAATTATCAACGAAGCATTTTTCTTTATAGAGAAAGCTGCTAGATATAGCTCAACATGCCTTAACCACCGAATATCCGAATAGTGAGGCTGACAAGCGATTGAGGTCTTACGAATTTCGCGCAATCTACGACAAATGTTCAGAATTCTGTGAAAAACCAGACGCTCCCACGTCTGTTATAACTGCTGGTGATTGTTGGGCTCCAAACTTCTTGGTCCGAGACATTGGGCAAAATCAGAAGGAAGCATTAATGCTCGACTTTCAGCTCGCACGTTGCGTTAGCCCTATCTGCGACCTATCATTCTTAATTTATTCCTGCACCCAGAAACCATTTCGAGATCAGTATTATGATGACGCATTGAAAGTTTATCATTCTGAATTAAGCAGTGCTATTAAAGCTCTTGGATCTGATCCAGAAAAGATTTATCCATGGGATTTATTTCTGAAGGAGGTAAAAAATACCATTTTGGATTGAAAATTTTTAACAAAAAAAGAACCACTACAATTGATATCAATTGCAGGTGAAGGACTATTTCATTTTTGGTTTAGCATTCGCATTCGAAGCTGTCCCGTTTTGCTTATTGGATCCATCTCAATCGTTCGATTTAGATGCCATTGTCAAAGGCGACGAGGCAGTAAATATTGCTGATGTGTGGACATTGTCCAACATTACGACATCAAGTGGAAGACGAAGATTAGCGGATGTAATAGTTCATGCTGTCGAGAATGGATATTTATGATGCAAAGTTATATATTACAGAATTATATATCTATTCATATATCACAAATTTTAAGAAATTCCTAAAGATAATTATAAACAGCACGAATGCATTAGTTTAGGGAAATAATATTATTGGAAAAGTATTATTGCATTGTAGCTTGTACGGTAATAATTTATCCAAAATATATCTTTATTAGCAACGTATTTAATCAACTTTCATGAAGCCTAATCTCATTTATCTTCCTCCAATAGATTTCAGAAACAAAACAGAGTGTCACAAAATATTTACACGTATTTGGAATAAAGTTTTATACACAATTTTATTAAACATGTAGCGTTAAATAAAATAGAGACAATCTGTATTTGTATAATTTTAATTATAACAACGTAGAGTAATTAAAATATAATCTGTATAAGAGTAGAGATATAAGCCACCCATTAACTTTTCATTAGCTCGCAGACGATATATATCTAAAATTTTCCGTTATCACATAGTAATATTGATAGGGTGGAGAATATTAGTAGAAATATCTTGTATATTTTTTCTTTTCTTTCTTTTTAGGAAAAGTACATCTATTGCTGACAAGCACAATATGTTAGTGATAAATGCATCACAGATGCGTATTTGATGTTAATAATCTTGCTGCTCAAAGCAAATAACATTATTCAAGTAGACGTTGAAAAATGCTTGAAATCTGTCTCGTATCGATAAGTCTTCATGTGTGCCTACCTCAAGAGACTGTGATAGTTAGTTGAATGTCAAAAGTCACATAATGTCAAGAGCAACATTATACGAATGATAGATATAATAGCACAATGGTGTATTTCCCTATGGGATACTTTTATGCGTTCTGATGTTGAACATTGCTTGTCACGACGTTACTCGCGTCGAAAACAGTTGTGTCTTCATCATCTTCCTCCTCCAATGGCAGCGGTCGCATTTCGACATCCTGCCTGTGCGTGAGGACACCGTACTTTCGAACTAACTGAGCGCGTGTTTTACTTAACCTGCAAATAAAAATAACACAAAGATCGTTAAGCCTTCAAATTTGAAATCCGCACATCACTCTTGCATATTCAAATTATTTAAATTCACCTAAAGCTACGGAACACGATGTAGGCCATGACAAGGATGCTCAGTCCCACAAAGACCAAGAATCCACGTACGAGAGCGCCAGTATTAAACGTTGCATGTCCATCACTGGGTTGCTGCAACAAAATTAATCAGTGACAATAATTTGTTACAATACAAAGGTGAATTAACATGTTAACTCAGTTGAAATATATGCAGTGTGTACAAGACTCTCTTTAAATTCACATAGACAAAATGTTTCCATAATTGGTTCAAATTTATCATCATATTCTTATCTGCAAATGATATTAATAAAAAAAAATATATAAATATAGATTCATAAATAACTTTTTCCATTATTACAGACATTAAAAATTATAAGTGGACATTAAATATAACAATGTTTACTGTTATTCCTTTAAAAAAACAAAACCGTAGAGGAATTATTTATGAGATAAAGTGTCTGAAGATCCTGCAAAACTGTGCAGTAACCTCGATGTCATCCGTATTAAGGTACGAACCTCGCTGTCCGCGGTGTGTACAGTTTTATTCTCAATATTCGGCGATGACGACGATGATTTGGAGGAGGTTAGGTTGTCGTGTGTCTTGTTTTCAACTGCCGGTTTCTTCGCGTCGGGAGGCCCTGGACCCGGTTTGTCAACCTGTTCGTTGGTTCCCTTGTTCTCATTCGCGGCAGGAACTATCTTCTTATCAATCGTAGACGCATCTTTCTTTTCCCGGAAACTCCCGTTGCAGACCGCCGTCTGCGCCAACAGGAAGATCAACAGGAACACGAAAAACTTCATCTTTTGGATCTTCGACCGCGTCATCGTGCCGTGTCATTTAAACGGCGACGACGACGACGACGATACTTTTCTCGCACTACCGTTCTGTCTTCTTCTCACAACGCGACAGCTCGACACATTCAACACATTCTCCAGACATTCTCCATGTTGCTCGCCGCCCGGCGCGCACTAATAAACGTCTTTCCCGTCACGCTTCCTCGCGAGTCGCGATCCACCAGCTGTTTCGCACGACAATCTTCGGACAGTTCCGTATCGTTCCTCGCGCACATATTGTCGCGCGTATGTGTGTACGCATATCATGTTTTTGCACGAAATACGCCAGACTTGTAGCATTATCGCGTATATTGCTGTAATTTTGCAAATGATAACAGGATATGATAGGACAACTATATACTTTGTACAAGATAAACGTTTTAAGCCGGAGCACGGAGCCGGAGGTGTCTCAATATCCGACCAAGTGTTAACAAAACTGTTATCATTTAATATTTACAAATATGAACAGACCAGGAACAATAAGAGGAGAATCTTAGTACATTAGGTTTGTATGAGAAGAGTTAAAAATTGTTTCGCAGTATTTAATATAATTAAATAATAAGTAATAAGCTCGTATAAGATAATGAGGTTATATTACGCGATACAACTTAGATTGATTCTTAATGAGTTTTACACAACTCTAAAAATATTCAATACTTTTACAAATATTTAATTGACTATCAATTAATCGTTATATCAAAAATATTATTTTGATAGGAAAAATTATATCTGAAATATCCGGCTACTGGGCTATTTACTTTGCATTTTACACGTATTTACACGTGTCTTTCATTCACATTATTACAGAGATACACGGTAATGTTGCAAGTTTTAAACACGTCTTTACGTTAAATAAAGACCGCTGCGCCGATAAATATAAATCGCGGAAAAAAGGCACCTCGCACTCGCGTTTATCTATATTATTATTCCTCAGATCTTTTTTTGAATCATTTTTTTGCGCAAACGTCAGCTGTAATTAATAGCCGCATTGATTAATTGTACACGCGTGACCTCGCATAGCGAACACTAGATAAAGTGTTATCATGTAGTATCGATTTATACTCGATCAATTTGCGACGCGAAAGATATCAATCGTTTTGTCAAGTGGAATTAACCAAGTGGAATTAACTTGATCGGGGGATCAAGCTCTTTGTAAATATTCTGCTCCGAAGAAAGAGAATTGTATTTGGAAGGAGAACGAAACCTTGAAAATGCAAATATGAATTACTATCTTTCCAGATAATAACAGCGACGGTTTTCTATTGTTGTAGAATTTCAAGTCGTCATACCTTTCGACAAGTTCGAATATTATTTATCAAAGAGATTCGACTCTTAATATCAAAATAATAACGAGGTTATCATCGAACGCTACATTATCTCATTTTATTACCAAGTCAGCTGTTTAAAATTCCGACGCATAAAATAATTATTTTTATGAAGAAGTGAAAAGTCTGAATATTGATAGTAAAATCTGAGTGAAATTGGAATTTGAACGGTGAGTATATATTGATCTTTATGTCGTGTTGAATTCTTAAGACATTGCGACTTATTCAACTATCAGATCATCAGGCGACACGCGTTGAAAAATTTGCACGAAACAATTTATTCATTCGAATTATCCATAGATTTTCCTCCTAAAATCTGTTGTTGATTGTATATCATTAGAGTTGCGTTCAGACGAAATTAATAAACAAACATCGCGCGTCGATTTCAACGTGCTTTCCATTTCAAGAATGTGCGTTCGTATTTGCTGAACAACATCGCCGAGTTGACATGCGTGGATCGCGCAGCCAACGCCAGGGAAGCGATTTGACGTGTGGCATGCGTGCGTACGTACGTACATATACAGTTATACAGCAGTGCGGGATTTAAACTCGTCGCGACCCCGGGCCACAACACGAAAGCCTTCCCGTCTTCGCCGCACAAATAATAAACAAAACGAAAAAAAAACGTCGAATGAAAAGAAATCACGATCGGACTGCTTACTGCCAAGCGTAAGTGACACGTTCAAACTACTACTAATCAATTAACGATTGAAAATAATAATTAAATCCATGCACAAGGATCATTATAATTTTGTACGATGCCTGATGTTCGCTTATGACGGTGCTAAAAAAATATTTTTTTAGGTTGGTGCCACCTGAGCTGTCATTGCGTTGCAGCTCGTTTGACTTTTGCTTCGCTGAACGAAAATAATGCGGGATCAACGGACACCGCGGATTCGCCGACCCTGCTGTGTCACACATACGATGCATACGCGAGGACAGAACGACGACAGTTGGAGCGCGAGCGAGGGAGAGAGTGCGGGTCCGCGTTGTGGAAGCTGCGATCGCGAGCTCGGTGCGTACGTCGGCTCGCGATCTATGCCCGTCTCGGCTGCGGACGGCGCGGCTGCGGACGGCGCGGCTGCGGCTGCGGTTGACGGCGGGTCGAACGACGACGCAATGCTCGGCTGGTTGAACATGATGCGCGTTTGTGACGGGGCGTTTGATGTGCGATTGAGGAAATTCCGCGAGGCGACGACGACGACGACGACGACGACGACTGAAAGCAGCAGCACGACCGCGATGGAGACCGCGACGGTGAAGAACGGGGACGCGGACGAGGCGAGAAAGTGCGAGGAGCAGCTGTCTTTGCTGAGCGCAGCAAACAGCTGTTCGTCCTGCAAGTCCGCGAGTCACACGGCAGAAATGGCGCAAGAGGATCAAGGCCCGTCCTGGGACAACTTGCCCAGCGTTATCTTGCAGGAGATATTCTCGTACTTGTCGCACGACACCAGAATAAGAGCCTCCCAGGTAAAGTAGAAAGCGAGCGAGAGTGAGCGAGAGAAAAGAGCGTGTCTCGTCTCCTGTTTTCTTTTTCCTCGTTCCAACAGTGTCGTGATCGTTGGCGCTGTAAACCGACCTGACATTGTGTGGCCCGATAAAGCCCGTCACGTTAATCGCGAGACCTTTTCTTATACGATTGTGGGAATGTATATTAATGTAGGAGAAAATTCACTCCCCGTTTCACTCGCTCAACCGTTATTTGCGTCATAGGTAAAAGTCTGATTTGCAGACGTTACCTTGTGTTTTCACATTTCATGTTTTTTTTTTTCTACATTATTATTGAGCAACAAAACAATAGATGCATCTGGGTTGGAATGTCAATAATTATTTCGTGATGATAACGACAGCGAAGTTTGTTATTACGTTAATGTACAAAAAATTGGATTTTTAATTATATGAATTTGTATTGATGTTACATATTGAGTCATTAACATTAACATTTATATTTAATTGTGTAAGATTTGTTCATTGGTTGGTTATTTCATTTCAGGTATGCAGAAATTGGAGGGACACTTTATTCCATCCGAGCTTCTGGAAGAAAATCGTTTTCGTGTTCAAAGACAAGGACAGCACTCTGTGGGCCCGGTTTGTAGAGCCAAAATATTTTCTGTTTACAGATTTGTTAAAAGCCGCACAGTACATGATACGTTTGTTATAGATTTTTGACAGACCGTTTCGCTCTGAGCGTGCAGGAAGCTACTATTCGTTGGGATACACCCAAATATATTGATTGCATGAACGAAACGTACAGAATCTTGAAAAAATTAAGCCCCAATAAGCAACTGAAAAAATTATTCTTGGAATTCTACGGTAGTGCTTATTCCCCTAAACGCTGGTACTGATGAATTCAATGATTTTCTACAATGCACGTGAATCAGCTTATCGCATTGTACCCATAATAAAGTTGTATGGTTTATTCTTTTCTTTTTAGCAACTACTATCGCTACACATCGATGATAAGATCTTTGGTGAACATTATCGAGACTTCCAATTGCCTGGAGGCCCTAAGTCTGGGATGTATGGTAGAGCTGATAGAAAATCAGTTTATATTTCTGGAACCTCTCCGTCTTCATCACGCCAAACACTTGACACACCTCAGTCTGGCGTCTGTCAAGGACACCCTTGAATACAATGATTTGAAGATCGATACCTCCTTTTTCAATTCATTCGTCAGATTATCCGTCTTGACCCTGGATTACGAGTTCGTCAGTGATACTTTGTTGAAAGCACTAGATAACGGATGCATGCAGAGATTAGTGATTCATGTACACAGTTGGAAAGAGAGCTATCCAGGAGCGACAAATAGAGCTTGGCAGTTGTTTGTTCAAAAGAAGTGAGTTAAAACGATGATCACGCTTGGGGGTTATTATTCCAGTCATAAGAAAAGTGGCGTCAGAAAAACATGGATAAATATTTCTTTATTTGCAGCCCGCAATGTGAATTAAGGCTCAATCTCATACATTCTTACGTCGGCGTGAAGGTTTTGGACACCGATATATTTTGCCCTGCCATGCCGTTGACGGACTTGAAAGTTCTGTTTTGCGAAAATGTGAATATCAGAGCGCTGTTACGATTGTCAGAGTGGTATTCGGATACTCTCCGATCGGTGACATGGGTGGACTCGATAAATCGCAAACAATACATGCCGTCTACTTTTGATCCAAACGAACCAAATAGGTAAGAAAAAGGTCTGTGCGTCTTTTCCGGCGAGAGTATAATCTATGCACGATTTCTCATTACAGTCCAGATCCTTTAGTGCTCGTGGCGTGGAAGTGTACTAAACTTACGAGTATGGTATTCCTGGGCCACAAATATTATCAAGAGAATCTTCTGGCCATCGCGCGTCTCCGAGGCAGCACTCTTAAATTGCTGGTATTTGCAAAAAGTAATATCAGTTCTGAATACGCATCGTGGAACAATCCCGTAATCACGGCCAATATCATACATGTGAGTATAAGGCGTTTTGACGGCTGATAAATATTTTTTGTATCCGTGAAGATGATATTTAAATAAAAATCAATTGATCACGTTTTGATAATTAAGGGAATGTCGATCTGCGAAACCGATAGATACTTAAAATATCAAATATTTAGGAAATTCGAGACATAATGGGTCTACATTGGACGCCATTAAGTGACACGCAACTACCAACGGTGATATTGGATCCGACGAAAGGCCACAGCAGAGAAGTGATCATGTCGCTGGTACTCTGTGATCAGAAGTAATTCGCGACAGATGCCAAGAAAAATCTCTATCCAGTGTGATTATTCAGCAACTTCCGGGCCACCAGCATTCTCAGAAGTAACGTTATCAAATTATATCCTTTATTCTTCTATATAAGATTTTTTTTAACGAGAGGTTGCGGATGAAATATCGAACAGCGAATATGTACTAGTTAAGTTTGAAATCTCGTAAGAGCGTTATTGTTTTGCCAAGAATGGAGAATTGTCTAGGGTGCAATGTGTTAGATATACAAAGGGATAAACGCACACACAACCTTCCCTTCGTTTACGATATTTCTGTCGGTTCGTATATGAATGTGATAAACTATAGTCAACTAGATCTATTTCGACTTGCTAATCCGATGCAAATTACGACACATTTGCAACCAATGAGGTAATCTCTTTGATTAAGAGATGATTCTCTTCAGTGATTTATACGCGTTATAATTTTTTCTTCTTATAAAAAACTATGAATCGCACTTTGGTGTTGCCAAAGTGACGGGTTAGGAATGATCATGCGAATATATATTAAGAGCGATACAAATTATCGCCTATATAAAATCAATATCGCCAGAAGAAGAGACCAGAGTACATTTTATATAACTACTATTCTGGTCAAGAGAGAGAAAGAAAGAGAGGGAGAGAAAGCGGCGCATTAAAACGACGTGGCCGAGTTCAAGATCGCAAACACATAAGAAGCTTGCGTCGTAAATCTTTGAAGGCAGCTGCGATGTGAAGCCTAGCAGAAGGATAGGAACAACTTGTTCAGTAGAAAGAGAAAGAGTTTTGCAACACATAGGAGAGAGAAAGAAGTTTGGATCTCGTGATCTTCCACTGGAAAGAATAACAAAATTCCAAACATATGTAAGTAGAAACGCGTTTAACAACATATTTTTCCAATTCTCTGGGAAGTTAGATGATAGCGAGCGCCAAGAGCATGACGTGCGAAAGTAACTATCTAATAAGATTTCGCGAAGAGTTCGTTGAACGAGCGGTGCGAGTGAGTATAAAGAGTTGTCGTGCTAAAAGAAGAAATAAAAAAAAAACGAAAGAAGAAAGGAGAAGAGCACGAAGTCGATATAGCGATCCGAGGTTATTTTTAATACCAAGACCAATCGGACGCTTTTGTACAAATGTTAACGTACCGAAAAGAGCACGGTCGGCTCGGCGAGAGTACGTGAACCGCGAGCGGAAAGAGAAGATAAAAAAAAAGAAAAAAACGTTCGCAATACCGCCCGCCCGTACATAGCTTTTCGGTGGGTGATAACAAGTAGTAAATCGAACAGGGAGTAACGCAAAGTGTATTATTGTCTTTACTCACCGTGCTCTTAGCGACCGCTGATGACGAACACACGAATATAGGTGTATCTGTAAAATCGGGATTTATTAGCCGCTATAATCGTATATGTATGTATATGTATGTATAACTGTATTATCTGTCGAAACTTTAAACACGTCAACATCCGGACGCAGCGCGCATCTATTTCTGTCGTGCGATTAACTGTGACGATTTTGCGAGCGTGTTTACAAAGAGAGAAAGAGAGAGAATGAGAAAGAGTGATCCGTAACAAAGATGAAATACCAAAATGCAGCCGTATATGCCGTATATCCATACAGTTTACTATTCCGAGAGGTTATTTACTTTTTTCGAGTCCTTGTATAATTATATTACATTGTCGTGTAACTCGTAGTCACGTATAATATTGTTTTTTTATATGTGCTTTCTGTATATACATCTCATGCGTTTGAGATACCGGAATACACGCGCGAACAACGCGGAATCGCGTACGGAGAGATACACGAAGAAATAAAAATAAAAAAAAAAGAAGAATAATAATAATAATTAGAAGAGAGCGAGAAGATGTGGAATAGAAAGTGATAAAAAGCGGATGTACAGAGGATGAAGAGCGAGGGAAATGCGAGCGGAAGAAAGTTTCTTTTCGACGAACGACTAGCTGTTATACAAGATGAACGGGCCTTAATACGTACCTGAGTCGCGGTAAGGGTAAATTCATCGAGAAAATCTGTCACGCGACATCCACCCTAGAGAGATAAAACCACCTTATAACACGGCCGCGTCCTCGCGAACGCGCGGGGACACGCACGCTCGCCGGGACAGCGGCCACAAACTTAAGGTATATTACGCTCGTGCAAGTGCCCTTTCATTTCGTATTCCGCGCGTGTATATTTTTATGTCAGAGGAAAAAAGGAGAGGAAAAGTCTAAACGTTCGGGAACCGAGGGGGGGAGGGGGGGCGGTTTCCTAAGAGCCGTAAACTAATACCGTACAAACGCGGATCGGCTAGCTATTTAGTCCGCTGACCGTCGATACTGCCGGACGGAATTAAGAATTTTGCGAGACAACTTTGCGTTTCTTCTCATTTTTTTCTTTCCAACGAACGGAAATTCCGCGTAACGACGAAGAGGGAGAAAAAGAAAAACTATATTCGGGGACACGGTGCCCAGTGTATGAGTGTGATAAGCGACCATAAGCGAGCGAGAGAAAGGATGAAAGAGAGCGAGAGAGAGAGAGCGAGAAACAGCGAAAGCGAGAGTAAATGCGAAAGAAAATCATTTTGCGACAATTGCGCGAGAGAGCGAGTTAGCGTGCAAAGAGAGAAAGAACTAAGAGAAAAAAAAAAAATTTAATCGAGAGCGCGAAGCGAGATGATACGCGTTCGAATGTATAATGGAATATCCGCGAAACGTAGAAACAAATCAAGTGATATGATAGTACCATCTCTGCGAAGTCCTCTGTAATAATATCGTAGAAGGCAGTCGTGCAGCCGCTTGACGCGGGCACAACGCAACTAAATCACCACGTTGTCGACAACGTGATAACGACAAAAAAAAAAAAACCACAAGCATAAGACTGAACCTGCCGTAAGAGGTGTATACAACAAGCCGGGCGGGCTGCACGTTGCCGCGCACACATTTGCCGACACCATGTTCATAAAAGAGTAGGACATACGAGGCGGAATGGAAAGCACATTTTTCTCGCACAAAAAAAAAAGAAAGAAGAATGGTCCGAGGTGTTCCAGATTGAACACGATATGCAATCTCATCCTTCTTCGATTTCACGGTATTTTCCGCCGCTCGCGCTTCAAACGGACTTTCCTTTCCACGCTGCTTTCCGTCTCAGCCTCGTCGCTTCGCCGTTGCGACCGTGCGAACGCGGACGTTTATGAATATGCGTGTCGCGAAAATAAAAATAAAAAAAAGTAAAATATAACAAAAGGGATGGTGCACCAGCTAGCGTTTAGATCGGAAGTAAGCCCTGAGAGAGCTCACTCGACGGCGGTTCTCGTAGCCGATTATTATAAACTAAACCCTTAAAAGCAGCCTGCCAAGAATCAAAATACTGTAAAATATCAAACGAACGCTAGCCAGTACAGAATGCTAAGATCTATTTTTTAAGAAGCGAATGTATATTTTTGTACTAAGGCAGGCCTTAGCGTGTGATCGTGTCTTCTTGCGCGTGATGGCGAGACGAAAGCTGTGATTAAAACACGTGTTGGCGATACAAGGTGAGAAAGAGAGAGAGAGAGAGAGAGAGAGAGAGAGAGAGAGAGAGAGAGAGAGAGAGAGAAAGAGAGAGAGAGATCAACACGGGAAATGTATGTCAAAAACGCTTTAATCGCGCATAGTATGCGAACAACACAGGGAACGCTAGACGAGAATCCCTGATCGATTGTGACCGAGTGAGCTGTAGGCATAGACAGGGCGTTATAAAATCGAGAATAAAACATCTGTGATAAAGTAGAAAATCTTACAAGCGTATGCGGGTGGATGAAGATCGACGAATGTCGATAAAGAAAGAGAGAGAGAGAGAGAGAGAATAGGGATAAAATCGAAAGAGAGATAGCTGAGGAGGACCGGAAAATCCACGCGCGCGCGCGCGCGCGTCAACGAAACTTGAGCGCGCAAGATCAGCGATTCCTTCGAGACTTAAGAAGACAGAGTGACTCGAACGCTCCGAGGAAGAGTTCGTCGCGCGTACGATCGACCGGCGACAAGAGAGCGAGAGAGAGAGAATGAGAGACTGTCCTGCGACAAGATAGCCCGGTCTAACTAGCAGACGACGACCCGACCAGCTCGCCTCGATCGCGCGCTCCACGTGGGTTTGCGACGCACGTTTAATTTTCTTTTACTTTTTTTTTTTTTTCCCTTCTTCTCTTCTCGGCCAGCTGGAGCAATCGAAACGCGCGCGTCCCGCGAGAGCCGTGGCGCAACAAGCGACTCGTGGAAAAGCTGGGCGCGCGAGCCTAGCTCCGTTAAAGTAGCTCCATTTTCCGTTTGATTTCGCGCCATCCGGTAGAAGCCGCGGCTCTAAAAGCGGAACCATGTGCGGCCAGCGCGGAAAAAGTTTTTCTTTCATGTGAAAACCGCTCTGTCTGCAACATTCCATGGTGAGAAGCGAGGACTGGGAGAGATCGCGTGCGATCGCGCCGGAAAACGCGCCGAAAAAGAAAAAAACGACTTACGCTTCGCCGACTTCCTGTAGACAAAGTTGGTCCTCTCGGCTCACCCCTCCGGGTAGAGAATCTTCACGCCGCGGCAGCGGTATTCGCGTTCCTCCTCCGGTTGAAATCCGCCGCTCACGGCAAAGCGCGCGCGCATTTAGATAAATATTTTATTAGAGAGAGAGAGAGAGG